GCCTGTGGAGGTTGCTGCAGCATCATCGGCGGCGGGTGCGCCTCGTATGTCACCGGCGCTGGGGCAGCGGCCTTCTCGGCCCCCCGATCCTGCGCCTGAGCCTCCTCCTCCTCCACTTCCGCCTGCGTTTCACATCCGCGCCTTACTCTTTTGCTCCCTCTTGCGCACTGGACGGGCGCTGTCGTGCGCGCCGGCCAGCGTCACAGCGAGCGTATCAAACAATATCAAACACATGGCTCTGCGCGCCCATTGCACGAAGACTGCTGCACGCCTCCTCGTGGCGGCCAGGGGTAACTTGATGCTGGCAGTATCTGTCGACGGCCGTCTTTCCCCAGAGGCGGCGGAGGGCATCAAGGCCAAGGAGGTAAAGGGGGCCTCCAGCAGACGCAAGTGTGCCGTGACGGCGGTCCGTGGCAGCCGACCCAGGGAGTGTAGGCCTAGTGCCCTGACTTTATAGTCCTCGCCGCATCGGGGGGTGCGGTCACGACTCCTACTGGGAAGGCTGTCATTGGGTGCATCCTGATCGGCACACCTCGCGGACTTGAGTTCCGCGAGCAAGGGAAGGCTTGTGAGGGGTGTCTGGCCTCCCTGGTAGTGCTCCCGAGTACTGCCACGCACAAAATCGCCCTGCGGCGGATGGCTAAGCCAACCGCCGGGAGTGGTCATTTTGACCTTTGCAGCTCCTATCCCGACTGCTGCACGCACAAAGGAACGAGACCAGCGCATGCATCCCAGGAGAAGAAGTTAGCATGCGCAAGGGATGAAACCCTCTGCACATCTGCGAAAGAGCCACGCTCCATTGTTCTGCCGTCCTGTGCACTGCGCGGTGACCATGAATGCCCTGCACGCAGTCGTACCAACGCTGCCAGTTGCACACTGCGCGGTGAGCATAGCAGGAGCGGCATGAGAGCAGAGCTGCCACGCACGCGCTCGACGAGCACATGCTACGGAACGCGCGGCAGGCGAAGTGCGCACGTGCTGGACAAATGCGAATCCGCGCTGCACAGGCGAAGAGCACTACTCCACGCACGTGGAACAAACGCTGTCCGAGATTTGAGTCTGCCCTTCCACGCCCACTCGGCGCGACCCCGAACGGGCCGGCCATTAGGAATGAATCGCGGCCGCAACGAATACGAGATCTTGCACCTCTTCATCTCCGCGAAGGGAGAAGAGTAGAGGATGGGAAGGGCAGGGTGACACGTGCCACACTACAACAAATACGCACATGTACATAGTATACGCATGTATGCAAACGCATGCACTCACACAGCCTCTGTATCTATATCCATATGAACCTTTGGGTATATGTATACACAGACGTGCATATGTCAATGTGTATATACGAGCAAATATGCGCCAACGTGCCCTTAAGGATCCTTGAGACACGAGTTGGAGCGTCCTCAGGTCATTCGACTAGTCCCTTCAGCCTCAGTCCTCAATCCTGAAGAAGGGGCCGCACCCAAAAGGGCCTAGGGCGTCTTCCTGCATGACTTGTTCGGGCCCACGTGGGCCCCATGACGGGCCAAGAGGGCCACACAAGGCCCCCTAGAGTCCCCCAATTCGGTCCAAGAGGGTCCCGACTTGCCGCTCCAAGACGACCAAGAGGGCCCCAGAATCGCCCAAGATGCCTTCGAGACGTCCCAAGAAGGCCCCAAGAGCCTTCCCAAGAGGGCCCCGAGAGGCAAAAATCATTGATGTTCCTTCGGGTGTTCAATGCTTTTGTGTTCTCCATTTTTTTAGCCTCCGACGCTCCAAGATCAAAGAGGCCCCCAAGACCGCTCCAACACGGCCCAAGGGGCCCCCAAGAGGGTCCGAAGACGACCAAAGAGGCGCCCAAGACGGCCCAAGAGGGCCCCAAGAGGGGAACACATACCGAAAATCAAAGCGTTACGCTTCAAGAGGCACCCAGGAGGCCCCAAGAGGCCCCAAGAGGCCCCGAGAGGCCCCCAAGAGTCTCTCTAACAGGCCCCAAAAGGCCCCAAAGGGCCCCAAGAGGCCCAAAAGAGGCTCCAAGAGACCTCAAAACAGCCCCCCCGAGGCGCCAAACTGCCTCCAGGAGGCCCCCGAGAGGCATCGACGAGATCCCAACGAACATCCAAGAGGCCTCAGACTCAAACCCCGGCACGGCGGCGACATGGGCCGAAGGCCATCAGATAGACGTATGTGTAGATACATGTGTATATACATATGTATAGAAACATTCATGCATGCATACATATATATATACATGCATACATTACATGACATTACTTTACATGACATCACATTACATCACATTACATTACATTACATTACATTACATTACAATACAATACATTACATTACATTACATTACATCACATTACATTACATTACAATACATTACAATACATTACATTACATTACATTACATTACAATACTTTACATTACATTACAATACATTACGTTACATTACAATACATTACGTTACATTACATTACATTACATTACATCGCATTACAGTACATTACATTACATTACATTGCATTCATTACATTGCATACATGTGTGTGGTCATGTATGTATGTACGTGTGTATAGATGGATGGATGGGTGTATGTGTATGCGTATGCATGTGTACATGCATGTACAGGGCAGGTTTTAACACATAGGATTAAAAAATAAGGATGTTTAATACATGGCTAAGTTATTATGACTAATTGATGCATTAACTCATCGTTGGTTTTAATACCAAATCCCTGCATGCTTAATACATGATCTGCACGCGGAGCATGTATTAAAACCGGCACTGTATGCGAAACATGTGTACCCATGCAAATACGAATACACATGTTTGTGTATGTATATGTGCATGGGTGTGCGCATGTATGTATGTCTGTATGTATGTGCATATGTCTGTATGTATGCGTGAATGTGTATATGTATGCATGTGTGAAAATATAAATATGTGCGAATGTGTGTATGAATGTATGTGTGTATGTATGTATGTATGTATGGATAGATGGGCGGGTGGGTGGGTGGATGGGTGCTTATCTGTATGTAAGTCAGTGCGTAAGTAAGTCTGGAGGTAGGTAAGTATATATGCATGTATGCATATGTATGTATGTATGTGTGTATGTATGTACGCATGCATGCATGTATGTATGTCTGTATGTGTGGATGTATGTGTGTATGACTGTATGTATGTACGCCTATACATATATATATGTATGTGTATGTATGCATGTATGTATGTATGTATGTGTGTAGGTATGTGTGTATGTATGCATGTATGTATGCGTACATGCATGCATACATGCATGCATGTATGCGTTCACAAGCACATCCTCATGTGTCTACACATATATACGCTGCATACAAACATGTACGCCTACGTATCCGCATGTCTCGCCATGCACCACGAAACCCTGCTGCTCCGAGGCTGCACGGCACGTGCGGGTGGTGGTGGAGGCTGTGGAGTAGGTGGGTAGGGTGCCGGAGACGGGGGCCGTGGATCAGTAGAAGGAGGAATGACAAGGGGAAGGGAGAAGGGGACGCGAAAGAGGTGGGATATCAATGGCGTGCTGGGGGCTTAAAATGGTACGTACCTCGACCCACCAGTCTGGCCACCATCGGCGAGGTACTGGAGGCTGTGCGGCAGCTTGCCGAAATCCGTGCTGCCAGAAGCGGAGGGAGGGCAAGAGAAGGCGGAGCCAGAGCCGAGGGTCCGACCGGGAGGGGCGGGTGGGAGAGCCACGCGGCAACAAAGTCGGCCGCCTGCCCCGCGCCCGCGATTCTAGAGATCCCCGCCTCCGTCCCGCCACTCCCTCCCTCCCTCCCCCACACGTCCGGGTAAGGGAGGAACCCGGGGGGGAGGGGGATGAGCATCGCGTAACCGATCCATCTCCCAACTGACGTGGCCTTGGCCGACTTACCCACAGAGGTGTGTGTATATATATAGATAGAAATACACATATATATATATACATGTAATTCGACCGTACACAAATATGTATACCTATATCAACTCCTATCCCTACACCAACACCTGTACATCTACATATACATAGGCATTTGCAGATGCGAATGCATATACATATGAATATACCTAAAACATAAACATGTGTGTATATAGATATGTGCATATGCATAGTCATATGCATGTACACATATACACACACATATATATACATACAAATGAGTATATAAACCTCAACATGTTTACATACATATACCTAAACATATACGTATACGTATACATATACATATGCATACACATATACATATGAATATCGATATACGCATTCATATGTATATCCGTATACATATGCATATACATGCACATAAACAGATATATACACCTATGAATATGCACATATAATCACATATGCATATAAATTTACAGATACGGATACGTATACATATACATATAGATATGCACATAAACAAACACATGCACACACAATCACGTACATATCCATATACATATACATGTGCATGTGCATCTACATATACATACACATAGACTTACATATGGAAATACATGTAAAAATCCTACACCTAGAATTGCGAATACCAATACCTATACATAGATACATGTATGCATATGAATATATACATACATACAAACATGCATTCATACGTGCATGCATGCATGCGCATGCACGTGTACATGCACAGTACAAATACATATGCCGATGCATGTACACGTACATAGTGGACCCATACATACACGAATAAGTGTATATATATATACCTACACAGTATGAATAGACACTCATATACAACTACATGTGTATATACATATACGTATACATATGAAAGTGAAAAGACCTATACATATACATATACGTATATATACATGCACAAATACGTGCACATTGGCATCTACAAATATCTTTACGGATAGAAGCACCCCACATACATATGATAAGTAAGACTATCCATATACATACAGAAATCCGTACACATATACAAATGACAACGCATGTAAATGTATACGTGTGTACATAACCACGTATGCGTAGATTTAGTCGTGTGAACAGACGTACACATACACTTACATATGTATACATATACATACATACAAACATACATATGCACATACGGACACATACACATATGTATCTGCATACACATGTATGCGTACATGCACACATTTACTTGTACATACACATGTACATATACATGTACATGTGCATGTACACATACGTATACAATCATCCACATGTCTACACACGTACATTTGAAAATAAACTAACATGTGCATAGGCTTATATTCATGCATATGCATACTTGTGAACATGTACATAAACAAAAATATGTATATACATATATATATATATATATGTATATATATGTAAGTATATGTATATACACGCATATGTATATACATACCCAAATACATATACGTATACCCCTAAACATAGTTGTGTGCATGCACATCCCAATAAACATATAATGTTACATTGACCTACACATGTGCATGTGCAAATTCATGTGAATATATATGTAAATATATGTGTGTGTACGTATGCACACACCTACATTTACGTGCACATACACTTAAACACAAGCATGCATATACATACATATGAAAATATATGCATAAACAAAAACACATGCATGTGCATAGTGTACAGATACATCTGTATATATGTGCATATATATGCACATATATACATGTAAATAATTATGTGTGCGTGCCTGCTCCTTCGTGTTTCGCGGGACCCATCCCCACCTGTGAGGGTGGGCTTGTGCAGCTGTGATACGGTGGCCCACTGAGGCTGGGGACGAGGTAGACGACGCTGAAGGGGAGGCGGTGGAAACACGCTACGACACCAAACCTCTTGACTGCGTCGGGTCTGGGGTCCGAGGACTTTCGCCCTTCGGTGCCAACCGTGTACACCGGCGGCGCGGTGTACGTGATGGGCGGCAGGGCGTAGGAGGGCTGCTGGTATGCAGGCTGCGGGGCCGCCTCGCTCCCATTGGACTCCGCACGGGTTCGATGACCCCCCTTTGCTTCAAGTACCAGGGAGGGAGAGAGGGAGGCAGGGAGGTTCGAGTATCAGGCGCAGGAGGGAGGAAGGGAGGGAGGGCGAAAGAGGGGAGAGGCAGGGAGGGAGGGAGGGATGGAGAAAGAGAGGGAAAAGAGGGAGGGAAGGAGAGAGAAAGAGGAAGGACGGGGAGGGGGGGTGGGAGGAAGGAGGGAGGCCCCCGCTTCGCGTCGGGGCAGGCCGTGGCATGTTCGGTTGCAGGGGAAGCCCATCCAGAGAGGGCTGGACACAACAGTAGATGGTCCACACGTCCCCCGTGCCCTCCAAGGGAAGAGGGGCCAAGGGCAGCATGGCATGGGCAATCGGGCGCGAGCCCGGGACTCCTGAAGGGGTGGCGGAGAGCTCCGATAATGGTTTACGGCCGCATCCTCGACACCGTCCTGGCAAGTCTTTCAAGTCAAGCGTGGCCACGAGGCTGAACGTCGCAGCCACGCAGGACATGGGGAGGGAAGAAGGACATGGGAGCAGGGAGAAAAGAGGAAAGGAGAAAGAGGAAGGCCGAAGGGAAGGTTCCTCTCGTTTTCCGCCCGCTCCTCTTCTTCTCCGCCTCCTCCTCCTCCTCCTCCTCCTCCTCCTCCTCATCCTCATCCTCATCCTCATCCTCCTCCCCTTCCTCCTCCCCCCTCCTCCTCTTCCTCCTCTCCGTCCTCCTCCGCCGCTTCCGCCCCCTGCCTCCTCGCGCGTGCTGTTTCGACCCTGGCACAAACCAAATCTGACGTTATGACATCCGGCACCATGACGTGGGCGCCCAGGAGCGTGTGAGAATGCCGGCTGGCTGTCTGGCAAGATCTCCGCAGTGTTCCAGGGTGCCTGCGCCCCTCGCTAACTGTGCACACTGTTTCCCCCAGCGGGCCAAGTGACGTCACCACAGCGAGAGCCAGATTGGTCTGCAAGCGCGCACACGCACACACACGCACTGAGAGCGCCAATTGCCTGGTGAGAAGCTATCTAAGCGTGCACGATGCACGGAACAATGTGATCCCGATAGATGGCGCGATAAGCCTGGCCAGGCTGGTGCAAGCTCAACCAGTCGCAAGTGGACAAGGCACGAGCCAAGCACGTACTCTCGGGAGCGAGTGGTGACAGAAAGGGAAGGAAATAATACACCCCCACACACACACAAACAACCATATGCACACAATAAACACACACACACACAAACACCCATATACACACAGAGACACACAACACACATACACATGCACATACACACACACATATGCATACGCATACGCATACACATGCACATACCTATACACGTACACGAACACACATATACGCATACACATACGCAGACACATACACATACACATACCCATAAAATACACATGCACCTACTTCCGCAAGCCGAAAGATTTTCCTCTTGAGTCCCACATGTCGGAAGCGACGCGCCGTTCAGGTGAGCGGATACATGTTGCGCTCGCTTCGAGGTGGGGTAGATGTGTGATGGGTGAAGATGCGAGAGTTGGCCGGGCCCGCTGAGCAAATGTTTGTTATTGGGAGACTTTCGGGAGATGGCCAGGCCCGCGGCGGCGCCCAAGCAACCACATGTTATAGGAGAAGTGAAGGGAGGTGGCCGGGCCCGCCGTGGCGCTCGAGTTTCCGACTTGGACACTTTGCTTGTGTGTCTTCGCCCTTCCTCATCCCTTCCTCTCCTCCTCCTCCCACTTCCCCCCTCCTCCTCCCGCCTCCTCCCTTCTCCTCCTTCCTCCTTCGTCCGTCCGCCTCCCTCCTCTCTCCTCCCTCCTCCCTCATCCTCCTTCTCCGCATCCTTCTCTTCTTCCTTCCTCCTCTTCCTTCCTCCTCCCCCCCTCTCTTCCCTGATTGTTCCTCCTCTCTCCCCCCCTGCGTCCCCTCTGTTCTCCTCCCACCTCCTCTTGCCTTTGCCCGCATCCTTCCCCCCTTCATTCTGGGAAGACCCCCCTCCCCCGTAGAATCATAGCATTGGTCTGCAGATCCACAGCTCCGTGGATACTGGGGATGTAGCATGATGCTTCACTTGCGGTGCTCCGCGGATCCCATTTCCCCTGGGTCCCAGATGTTAGGGAAATAAATGGATCCATCGTTTTTTCAGAAATTGGATCCGCGCAACACAGAAATAGGATCCACGAACCTCTCCCACACCCGAAAAGGGATCCAATTGGATCCGTTGATGTTCTCACATCTTTTGTCCAAGAGGAGAAAACTTTCGGCCTGGGGATGTACGCATACGCATACGGATACGCGTACACATACACATACACATACACATACACATGCACATACACATACACATACACATACACCCACACCCCACACATACACATACAAATACACATACACATACACATGCCCATATACATACACATACACATACACATACACATACACATACACATACACACACATACACATACACATACACATAGACATACCTATACACATACACATACTCATACTCATACTCATACACATACACATACACATACGCATGCACACAACCTGGTTTGGGCCCGGCTTCGCTTAACACGTTTTCAAACTCTGCCTGGTTTCGCCTGGTTTACGCCCGGTTTCGCCTGAGACGTCCTCAACGTGCGTTTAGTTTCGCATTGGTTTGGCATGGTTTTGGCCATGTTTCGCTTGAGACGTCCTCACAAGATGCCTGGGTTGGCCCTGTTCTGGCTTGGTTGCGCCCCAGTTTCGCTTGAGACGTCCTCAGAACCTGCATGTGTTCTCCCTCGGTTGGCATGGTTTCGGCTCCGCTTCGTTCGAAACGTCCTTACAGCTTGCGGTGTTGATTCGAGCTGGCATACTGCACAAGAGAAATCATTGAATGTCCATACGGTTGGGCAACATTCATTGTGGTCGCCATGCGGTCTGAACACACAGTGGGATGTGTCACGTTTTCTTCGACAGACAATGGTTGATTAACATACGTCGCGGTGGGCGTGTACAAACCGAAGCAATGGCAAAACAAGTGTGGTCCACATTTAACACCGCTACAACATTGCGGGCGGCATGAGCGTTAGGAGAAAACTTGTCCGAGGCTGTAGGAGTCCCTGCTACAGCGTCTACTCGCCCTTCTGCAACTTCTGGTAAAGCGGGACTTACAACTACGACTGGAGCTCTTACCAGGACCCCAACTACAGCTCCTGCCAGGGATCCTACGACAGCTTACATGATAGATCCTACTACGGCATTTACTACGCTACCTACTGAAGCTCCTACTAGAGCTCGTACCACAGTTCCTACTACAGCTCCCCGTAGACATGAACATAAATTTACCGAGCAAGATCGATTCATCGGGGCCCTTGTGCCCGAAATATCCCAAAACGGTGCATAGAAGGCGTTGCGATCTTTCCCAAACCCTTCGACGTGACTGCATGAAACTGCGAGACGGTGCGTTGCCAATCCATCCACCCGTCTCCTTCCATCGGCTCTGCCATCCCTTTTCACTCGCACCATCTGCTCCCCTGGTTGCGTCGCACGGGGAGGGGCAGCTGCCAGAAGGCGCTGCATTCCCTTGCAGGCCAGAGCTGACAGCGCTGCGGTGCGCTGCGTTGCGCGGGAGGGGGCGTGAGGATGCGTTGCGTTGCGGGGTGGGGGGAGCACTGCATGGCTTCGCCTACAAAAACGAAAAAAAGGCTCGCCCTTCGCTGCTCGCGCCTCACTCAGCCTGTATATTCTAGATGTGCCCAAACCTTTGACACCCGCAGTCTTCATGCGCTAAGGAGGAGGAGGAGGAGGAGGAGGAGGAGGAGGAGGGAGAGCTCCCCCCCCGTCGCGCCAGCCGCGCCACAAAGCCCCGACAGGGCAACACGGGCGGGCCCGGGCGGCGGGCACGGACGGACAGGTCCGGCCGGCAGGCCGTGCCAGGCGGGCCGAGCAGGCGGGCGCCATCGGGCGGGTCGGGCAGGCGGGCCCCCTCCTCCTTCTCCTCCTCCGCCGCCCCCCTCCTCCTCCTCCTCCTCCTCCCTCCTCCTCCTCCTCCGCCCTCCTCCTCCTCCTCCTTCTCCTCCTCCTCCACTCCTCCTCCTCCTCCTCCTCCTCCTCTCCTCCTCGTGTTTATATTTATATATATATATATATATGTATGTATTAAATATAATGTAATATAATATATATATATATATATATATATATATATATAAATAAAAACAAAAAAACAACAACAACAACAAAAAAAAAAAAAAAACGCCCATCCGCATTTCTCGCTGAAGCGTGTCCAACCCCGGGCCCCAATGTCAAAGTGGGGGGCGTTCGACGCGGGGGAGCGCGAGTCGTTGCGAAACAAACGCCCGCTTTTAAAAAACGCTTCCTGCGCGACAGGATGAACATTGAAGTTGGGGGCGTGGGGGGCGAGCTTGCGCCGCCCCTTGAACGTTGCGTTGCGTCCAGGAGAGAGTCCCTGAGGGTCGGGCGGGCGCGGCACGCAAGCTTTAGGTCGGGCCTGTCCTCCTACAGGGGGATTTTGGACGAAACATAAAAGATACTCAAAAAATACTCAAAAGATGCCAAAAAATACTCAAAAAATAGTCCCGGCCCGACTTCACGCAAGCTGGAGGGCGGCAAACCGACGCGCGGGTCGGGCGGGCGGACTGTGACGGCCTGGCCAGCGGCGGGTGGACCCCGCGGGCCGGGCGGGCGGAACGTTCACGGGCAAGCCAGGCGGGCTGGGCGGACAGGCCCGAGTTGATCGCAAGGATTCTCTGGCGAGAGAGCGGACCCTACGGAAATCGTGAGCTTTGGCAGCCTCTCTACATAGCAAAGAAGTGCACTTCCTGGGTGCGCGATCGCTGAGAGGACTGCGCGGAGGCCCCCCCCGGGCGCGAGCGCGACACCTGGACGGAAAGAGCGCGATGCGCCGTGCCGTTGTGAGGAGGCCTCGTGCGAGAGGGCGAGTCTTGCACAGGCTGCGGGCAAGTCTCCAGCGAGGGCGCGGGCCACACGCATCGAGTCGCGGGGGGGCCTCCAGCGGGAGCCGCTGTGGCTGCGGCCGCGGGCCCCGGGGCACGGGCGGGATACGCAAGACTCCCTCCGGCAAAGACCGACTGAGAGCCGAGGCGGGCGAGTCGATTTCGAGTAAGGGATCGGCTACATGATTGACTTACCCCGAACTCGATTTTCTCGTCGAATCTGCAACAAAAATCAGAGCATCTCTGTCGGTCAACGGAGCAACCCTCGCATTGTTCGTCGATTCCACTGCAACATCAAGCTTGGGGGTAAATCAATGATGTAGTCGACCACCTGCTCGTCGATTGAAAATGAAAAATGGACATCAGTGAGGGGGAGGGCAACTACACTGATCGTCTGTGCAGCCATCTGAGCTTGACATCAACACGTGCGGCTAAAAGCAAATGCACTGCTCAAGGGACCCTCAAGACAGGCCCAAGACGGCCCCAGAGGGCCCCAAGATAGCCACTGTGACAGACCAGCAGAGCTCCAGGACGACCCCAAAAGGGCCCCAGAACGTCCCGAGCCCGCGAGGGCTCCAAGACGGCCCCTTGGAAGGCCCCAGGGTGGCTCCACGAAGCCTGTTCGTCAGAGCCGAGCACAATCTCATCGCCCGAGATGGCCCTAAGACCCTGCATAGGCAGACGAAAACGCTACCGAAAGTGCTCCACGAAGATCAAGAGGCCTCAACAATAGAAAGACAACAGCCCAAGAACAAACAAGCAAACAACACACAATAACCGACAAAAACGGCTCCAAGAAGCCCACGAGGGACAACGAACAGCACCCATGCAGCGTTATAACCACGCCCCGCTACAGCATCGTAGCACTTTTCGTGGCCCCAGCATGGTTCTACCGAGCCTTGTCGGAAGAGCTCAGCAGAACCATCCCGAATACGTTTCGATGCTGCACTTGCGCGGCGGCGGGGCTTGCCGCAGACAGCCGGCTATTCGCCCTGCCCACCCTTGCATCTGAGCCAACGCGACACACTCCGGCTCCGACCCCACCACTCAGGATCCCACCACCGCCCAACCGCTCTCCTGCTCAGACCCTCTGGGCCCCACGGAGAGAAAGGAGGGGGGGAGGGCAGGAGGGAGGGAGGGAGGGAGGGAGGGAGGGTGGGCAGGGGGGGAGACGACCGAGCTGCCACGCGACAAGGCTGCATGCCCGCCCCGGGCCTGGAGCCCGAGGATCGCCGGCGAAGGAGGGAGGGAAGGGAGCGCAACGATGCCACACACACACACATGAAGGGGGAGTGAAGGAGGGAGTGCAGGAGGGAGCGAAGGAGGAGCGAGTGAGGGAGGATCGCCTGCGAAGGAGGGAGGGAAGGGAGCACAACGATGCCACACACACACATGAAGGGGGAGTGAGTGAGGGAGTGCAGGAGGGAGCGAAGGAGGAGCGAGTGAGGGGGGATCGCCTGCGAAGGAGGGAGGGAAGGGAGCACAACGATGCCACACACAGAGGAAGGGGGAGTGCGCGAGGGAGTGAAGGGGGGAGCGAAGGAGGAGCGAGTGGGGGGGGATCGCCTGCGAAGGAGGGAGGGAAGGGAGCTCCTCGACGCCACACACCGGAGCTCGGGCGACGCCGACGGACCACTTCGGCGGGCGGCCCCGGAGCCCAGGGATCGGTGCACACACCCGCCCTGGCCTGGTCAGGAGGGCGCACACGTCGATCACTGGGCAACGGTAGGGGGGGGCATTGGGTCAGGGAGGACGCATCGAGCCCCAATCGCCAATTCATCACCGATGGGGGTCCGATGCCCCACCCCACCCAGGACCGTGCGGTGTCGCTATCGGGAGCTTGTCGCCGATCTATCGGCGATGCATCGTCAATTCTCGCTCGGCGTCGGCCAGGATCGGTGGAGCTGGTCACTCGACGCGCCCCGAAGAGGCTGCACGACCCGAGCTGAGAAGAGAAGCAACACCAGCATGAGCAACGAACGTTTTTGACCTGCGGGGCGAGAGCGAACCTCTTCCGCTAAAAGCTAGGCGGGCTACGCACTGCTTTAATTAGGGAGACAGGGCACAGGAAGGCAGGATGAACATGAACATGAACATTCGGAGGTCCGCGATGGTGTCTTGGATCGGCGCTGGACCCCACTGCCTGGCGCACGGGGAGCGCGCCGGGGGCGGCGCCGTAGGCGCCGCCAGGGGAGCCGAGCGACGATTCCAGAAATCCTCACGAAGCTCCGAAAGTTGATGCCTGTGCCGTTTCCCTTCTTCGAGAGTTAGGAATCTGGGGACCCTTGCTCCCCTCCGAGGGGCAACGATGGGGGCGGAACGGCACAGGGGGGGTGCATCGATATGGAATTGGCGATACATCGCCGACAGATCAGCGATAGGCCCCCGATAGTGACTGCGCACCTTCTCTGGGCGGCGTCGGACCATCGGGCCACGATCGGCGATTAGAGGGCGATTGGGGGTCGATGCATCCCCCCCATACAGTCAACCCGCATAGGAAGGATGCGCGATAAGGATGCGAGGGCCTTGGACGCCCATTTCGAAGCGCTTCGAGCGGGGCGCGGCCAACGAAAGTGTCCAAGGATGGACCCAGGAGGCAAGGATGCAAGGGTACCCTTGGGAGGGATACCCATCCTTACTCTGCGGGTCGACTGTACGCCCATCCCCCACCTATCGTTGCCCCCGGCCCTTCCCCTCCGTGTACACGGGCGGTGCGGTGTACGTCACCGGCGGGAGGGCGTACGTGGGCTGCGGCGCCGCGTAGGTGACGGGCCCTCCGCAGGCTGGACTGATCTCCTTCCCTGCCTGCCGCGCTCCCTGCTGCATCCTCCCTCGCCGCTCTCTCCCCGTCCCCTCCGCTTCCCACCTCCACCCCCTCCTCCATTTTCTCCTCATCCTCCTCCTCCTCCTCCTCCTCCTCGTCCTTGTCCTCCTCCTCGTCCTTTTCCTGCTCCTCCTCGTCATCTTCTTCATCCTCCTCCTCCTCCTCCCTCCTCCTCCTCCTCCT